TGAGCTGATTGACACAGGCTGAGGTTTGATTGATTGACATTGACTGAGCTGATTGACACAGGCTGAGGTTTGATTGATTAGTATTGATTGAGCTGATTGACACGGGCTGAAGTTGGATTGTTTAATACTGACTGAGCTGATTGACATGGACTCAGGTTGGATTGATTAGTATTGATTGAGGTGATTGACACGGGCTGAGGTTTGATTGATTGACACTGACTGAGCTGATTGACACAGGCTGAGGTTTGATTGATCCCCTCCTCTCTCTAAGTGAGTCCTGCTGCGCGCCCCGGAGATGTCCATCTCTCCACGGTAACCGTAACCTAGCAACCCTCCCGGCACCTGCTGGCCGCCAGGCCTGCTTCTCGGGGGTCCAGTCAGAGCCCCCTGTGCTTCTCGTCCGCTGCGGGATGGAAACGGGCCGCAGTGTGTAGTGACCGTGTGACAGACAGCACAGCCACTTACCTGGACAGCTGCTACTGCAAGAAAATGCTGTTTGTTTAATTTGTGAGAGCTCAGATCAATTTTATTTTCAAATTCTTTCAGTGAAATGCAGATGAGTGCGGCAGTTTTTTAACTGCACTGTTTGCACTGTTTTTACAGCACTGTCCCATGCCAGTGCTCAAATTAACACCCCCGCAAGAAGAGAAAGACACTGCCTGTCTTTTGGTTTTGGCTGCCAGGATGTGATGTTTGATTCCAGCACAGGGGGGCGCTGTGGCCCAGAGACGGCCGGCTCCTTGGCAGGACTGCACTAGTTTAGAGAGCTGCTTGCTCCTGGCCTGGAGACTGAGCTGAGGAGACTCTGACAGTGACTCAGGAGGTACAGCAGACTTTGCCCCACTGGATTCGCGTGGTCAGCTCTGCTGTGGCAGCCTGGTCTGTGACGCGTGTGGCTGCGTGCGCGGCCCTGGCCGGTGTGTGTGAGTATGGGGGTGCCTGTGCTGGTTGTCAGCAGTTTGTGGGGTGAGGATGAAGACGAGGGTGTCTAACGGCATCATCCCGCCAGCGAGCCGAGCTGTGGCCCGGGATCGAGACATCCCGTCGCTTGGCCGCGGCCGGTCAGCAGCAGGGCCTGGGAAACTGCTGACCAGACCCTCTCCACAGGGGCGCCCAGTGAGAGCAGCCTGTCCACTGGTCCGCCACAGGACCGCTGTGAGCCGGAGCCTGCCTGGCGCTCGAGGATGATGCCAGGCCATGACTGGGCACGCACGCAGACGGGGGGCAACTCGCCCGGACAGCACGACACAGTGAGGAGTGCATTTACCTTTAAAAGCACAGCACACAAAGTTTTAATCGTTCAGAACCCCTTTCCAATTTTTGTGCGGCAACCTGAACTCAGCTGTGCAAGGGGCCTTGTTTTGCAGAGGTACCTCTCTCATGAATTCTGAAAATAACAATAAAAAACATTCTACGACTATGTAATTTAGCGTCGTTAAGGATGAAGAGAGCACAGGAGGCCGCACACTGGAACCACTGCTTTTCTCACACTGATTAAAAGCAGATCTTCCTTTTGTCGGACTGGTGATTATTTTATTTGTGTCTGTCCCCTGGGGCTTGGGGCTGCCAGGTGACTCAGCGTTTCCAGTTTTGGGGTTCAGGGTGCGATTGTGCAGC